ATACAGCAGCGAAATACGCCAGGAAGGTGAGGGATGGAAACCTGTTGGGTTTGGGTATTCTTTTCAATATGTTTAAGTGAGTAATTTGAAGCTAAAGAAAATCACATTTTCTGGAAAACTAGCTATTTTCTTCAAGGGAACTTTTTGTATAGGTAATTGCTAGGTATTCACTAAATTAATTATCAGACAATGCATATATATGTATAAAAATTTCTAAACTCATTTGGAAAAAAAAACCAAAACATTATTTCTCTTAAGTTCCGTTCACCCAAGAAAATGAGCTGAGGGAGGTATGATTCTGTTGAGATTTTCTGTTCCCGAGTACTGAAATCACATATCTAATCTTGTCTCCAATAAGGAAGCTAAATTGTAAAAGAACAATCACTGGGTCAGGAATCCAAATACCAACTGCACATTATTTTTAAATTGCTGTTTACCAACGCTGCTAGCCATTTGCACAGAAACAGTGCAGGTCAACCCACAGCGTTTTTTCAGCTGCCAGAAGAACTCTCTAAACAAATAATTCCTAGATATTAAAGCCAAAGAGTTCAGCAATGAGTGCTGCTGTCAGAACAAACCATGAAGGAAGCAAACTGAGGAAAGACAACGACAAATGCACTGTCCCAAGTCATCAACATGATGCAAGTCCACATGTGTTCTGTGAGCACCTAAAATTTAAAGAAGAAAAAAAAATGCGTTTTGGCCTCAGTGCTATCTACAAGACATCCTCTGGGATCCCTGGAATCTCCTGACAATCAAAAAAGGCCCCATCGGCAGTAAAAGCAGATCGTGCAGCGAGGCTGGGGGAGAGGCACACCCCAGAACTGAATCCAGCAGTGCCCTGCAGCGGCTGGAACCCCAAGCACCGTGCGGTCTCTACAGACCACCAGCACCTGCTGCGGGTCCGGGCGACCCACCAGCGTCTGCACTGAGCCACAGGACCTCACTTCATCCTGTTTCCACAGCGTCTGGGAGGACTTTCCTCCCTCTTCTTCCCATTTGGCTGTCCACCATATCCAGCATTAATTGCTCGGCCGCACTTATAAGGAAGCCACTCATCTGCTTTGAGCCTTTCTTAGGAATTAGTTCCTACTGGAAGAGCACAGACACGCTCCCCCAGAGCACACCTCTGTGTCACCTACGCAACAGGGCAACCACACTCAGCTGGATGCCCTCAAGACATCACTCGGCTTTCTTCAAAAACTGCTCACAGCAAGAACTGTGATGAAATACAGAACACAGACTACGACCGCCACTCTAGAACTAACAGGACAAAAGGATATTAATGACTTACACCACTGTCCTACCTGGAGATCAAATCACCCAGGCTCTCCTCACAGCAGTTAAATTTTTATTTTTACTTTATTACATGTGGGTTTGGGGTTTGTTTATTTTTTTACAATTGTCCAAAGAAACTGAGCAGCAGAACTCTGCATTCTCTACAAGTAACGTTTTCAATGCCTCATTACCTACTGCAATACACACACTCCCTAGGTGAAGGCTGGGGCTTGATTTTCTTGTAAAAAAAGATGATGATGCACCATATAAAGGATGATGGAAAGAGGTGAGACATTAACCTAATTTACAAAAAAGTGCTATGAAAAGGCTTACCCAGTTCCTAACATATATTCACACATATAAATTTAAATTAAGATACTCAGACAATGTTAACCTACCTCACAAACCCACACAGGCTTCTCTACCAAAATCAAGTTTAAAGACAGTCAGAACCTGTCAAAATATTTTCTGTTTGTGTCTTTTTCTGATATCCCATAAGCTTTCTGCCTTTTGCTGGCCTAATGGCAGAGAGAGAAACAAAATGCTAAAGCTTTCCTTTCTCCTATAAATTTGGTGATTTGACCTGTCAGACCAATTGTTCTTCAAGACACTTCACTAATTTCCCTGCAAACCCTTTCGGAGGACAGGCTCTTGGGAAACTGACCTCTTCTGCACCACACACCGAGACCGGAGAGTCCTTCTGACTGCTGAGAGATTGATGGCGCAGTATTCTCAGGCTACACAGGCTCCTCTTTCTGAAAGAGCTGGCCTGGGGCACCCCATCAGCTCCCATCCCGGTGTAACAGCGCTCCCCGACTCGGGCTGCGGTTTGTGCGATGTGCTCTGTGGGTCACGAGCTCCCATCGCACCCGCACAGGCAAACACGCAGCAGAAGCCTCAAGCTTCCTGAAGCCACCTTGCAAGACGTTCACATAAACACACACACTGTATGCTGCACAAATTATTCAGATCAACTCTTCTTTGTCAGAGACATTCCAATGAGCTCCCAAAAGCAGAGACGGTCTTTGCTGTCTGTATTCTGCGCGGAACAAAGGCAGCTCTGTTCCCTCATCAGGAGCCTATCTCGCTGTTTCTGGAGAGCTTCCATTAAGCGTGTTCGAAGTCAAAGTTCCCAGACACAAGCTTTGAGCAATTTTCACCAAAAATAGTATTTTTATCAGTTCATGTTCTTTAGCTCACCAAACTTGTCAGAGCAACCAAAACCACTGGTAACTGCACTCATAGATTCTGTATTTTTAAATAAAGGCTGCTTAAAATACAGCACAACGGCATAGCTGCTCCATTTCATTACAGCAGAAGGATGGATTTTGCTACCTTGAAAGACCTTAAAAATGGGAAACGGTCATTTGCAGATACTGAGAAAGAGGCTTCAGTTTTAAAAATCACTTTCGTTATTTACACAAATGAAGCAGCAGAAAGCCAGCACAGAGTTTTGTTATAGTTTAACAGTATTGCATAACTCAGGAAACAAAACATGTTTTCATTTAGGTTTTAAAAGGAGTTAAAAATTCTGTTTTTCCTCTCAGTTATAAAAAACCAAGTTCTTAAACCATTAGACTTTCCAGACAAGAAAGAATAAGATTATAATTTTAGGCAACTGTGGTATTTTTCCACTTTTTTTTCTTTTTTTTTTTTTTTCCCCTCCCACTTCCTTTGAAGACAATTAATCAACAGGGTTGTAAGAATCCCCCTGAAAATACTGCCCTCCCCATCCCTGTCTCTAAGTACTTTAAGGGAGAAATTTAAAAGCAGATTTAATGATTTGGAAGGTTTATTCACCACCCAAACACACACCTACTCCCACGGCTGTACTATATGGTCAGCTGTGCCTCACTGAAACAGTGCAAAGGAGAGACAAGTCTGACAGATTCCTTATCCAACCATTAGCCCCATTTCTGACACGAGGCCAGTATTTTTCTGTTCCAGAGGTAAACAGATCTAGTTAAAGTTGTACAGTGCCACAGTTAAGCTCAATCAGTGTGTCACCTAGGCCATGTGCACCCTTTAGCCGCTGCGATGATTTCAGACTGGACACCAGGTATACGCAGCACAGACATTTTTATTTTTCAGTGATGTGCACCACAGAAGTTGATCCTCTCTATTAACCAGGCTAGGATAACAAACTGTAACAAAGCAAACCTTCATTAAACAACTTTGTGAAAGAGAGTTTAAAGTATCCGTAACCCTGCAGTACACCGAGTGCAGATACGTATGCGCGTCCCATACTAAACCATGCTGGCAGTAATTACCAGCAATCGTAAACCAGACTTTTCAGCAGTTGTATTGCGTAAGATCTGCCAACATTTCCTTTTCATGAGGCATTATTTGTACAGTATCCCCTTTTCTTGTTATTGACTTTGTACTCAAGAAACCCACAACAGAAAAAGCAGCACAGCACAGCAGACCAGCTGTTTAAAGAAACACAACCTCTGGTACCAGGTGCCAGGGCCAGCGCTGTGCTGCTCAGCAGCAGTAAAATGCCCACGCTGTTTACACAAGAGATACCACAGCCACACAGCACCCTGCACATCCAGTACTCGGCAGAAAGTAAACAGTGATTCAACTGATTAAGGAAAACACTGGCAGGAGCCAGTTCTTAAGGGCAAGTACGAAACTCTTGCTCAATTTTTAACAGTTTAATAAGGGCAGCCTGAGCTTCATCTGACAGCCTGCAAAGAGTAGATATGACTGCTTAATGTATCAGTGTTTAGCTCAGGAACTGTTTTGATGGGAAGGATGCTGATTTCTACTAAAATACACCCGGTTCTGTCCTTCACTGCCAGATTTCAGGGAAGCTAACACCACACCTATCCCATTAAATGCGAGCTGAAACACAGCGGCGAGGCAAGTCTCTCAAACTCACGTGCATGCTCACTGCTGTTCGTATTTCCCATCTTCCAACTAGCATGACAGCTTTGGAAGAAACAGTTTCCACTCCACACATAGTCATTAACACATCACATAGTCATTAACACAATAACTGGACATCTCCAGTGCAGCCTACATGTGAGCCCTCCTCACTAAATCAGTACAGCCAGAAAAGGAAACAACTCTTCAGCTTCAAAAACAGAGAGTATGCTGGCTAGAAAAGTGATGGGTTTTCCAAATAAGAGCAAGATGCGCTGGAGAACAAGAGTGTCAGTAAGGCACAGCCCGCATCTGCAAACACTGCTGTGTACCACAGATAGTACTAACCAAAGCTCTGCTATTCCAGGAGCTGCCTGTGCAGTAAGTAAAATATAACCCCAATAACCAAGGGTTTACTGATATTCCAAACCCAGAATCTGTGGTTAGCAAAATAAAACCTTAGCTGTTATGTGAAGTGATTCTTTAGCACTGCAGAGCACATATTCTGGTGCTCTCAAAGAACAGGGAACCAAATTCCATTCTAATGTATTTACAGCTTATAAAAAACTAAGACTCTTCATATTAACACATGCATCATCTGACTTCTCATTCTTAAATGGTCACACCTAAATTTTTGTTGAATTTTCTACCTTGCAGCTCTTCCTTAATTTTGTGGTAACAGTAAAGAAGCTATTTTGTAGACTACATTTCATTACTTGCTTGAAAGGTATTTTGACAACTAGTAACCACCCTCAGATACAGTTTTTTTAAAAGTACTGTAAATAATTTAAATTATAGCTACTAAATTTTAAATTTATAATTTTAAAAATTTAGAAATGCATTGCTACACTTACTTTTTGCTTGCTTCATAAACATCCGTGATGTTGGAGAAAAGGTGATGGCTCTCCGTTTTGGTCATTGTGAGGCTCAGTTCCTTGGAATTTTTAAACATCCTGATCAGAATCTCCAAGCTCAGCAAATAAGAATGCTCAGAAGATATCACTTCAAATATTGCCTGTAAAGTGGAGGGGGGAAAGACAAGGCTTACTATTGACTACGCTTCTTTAAAAAAAAAAATGGGGACAAGGGGTGCAAAGAAAAGTTACTGGATATAAGCTAGAGATATAGATATATAACATAAGTGTTCATTTCCATGACAGTTGCATCATTTACTTAAAAAGAAGAGATTTAATACTATAGAAAAGAATGTTTTGAAATAGTCTATCTTCAGACTTTCCAATGCAACTGCAAACAGTTTGCAGACAAAAAATTAACATCAACTATGATCACTCCCCATCCATACTCCTGAGGTGTTTTTGTTCTGTTTTGGTTTCTAAATTTAAAAAACCCGTCTGTTCCTGTGGTCTGCTTGGAAGCATTGTATCAGCCACGCTACTGTTGACCAGTCATTATTTGCTTTTGCTCTTTTTAAACAGAAGCTAGTAAGTTAGTTATTTGGAAAAGTTCTTGGGTGCCAGCTCTGCTTACCCAAGCATCTGCACCTTTGCAAAATTCAGGTTTTAGCCATGTACCAGCAGTGACCCCTTGGGTACTTCTAAGACATCAAGCTAGGAGCAGGCCCAGGAGAAGCGGAGGTATCTGCTGCGGGGAGAGAAGCCTGGCGGCAGAGCAGACAGGAGGGGTGGCAGCCACTGTCCCCCCAGTGATCAGTGACCAGACACCAGGCAGGCAGACCTCCAGCACACTCACCCACAACCAGCTCCTGTGTTTTATCACCCTTCCACTTACAGATCAGCCACCCCAACTTCCATCGGTTGGCTGACACACAAAGCAAACTTTCAATGGGCTCTTGGACTTTGAAATCCACATCCTTGTTCCACTGGAAATGTTCATCTCTGATGCAGAAACCTACTCAGCTTTTAGACACCTTTTACCTCCCCAGGCTTTACTTGCTGTTCATCTACTAGAGTTCTTCTATGCATACACACACAAAAAAATTACATCATTCTCATTAACGCTTTTGTCAGGAGCTCCCCTAAGTCACATTTGTCATCAGTTCTATCGCCACGCACTTCCAACACAGATTCATACCATCAGCAGAGGTAATGGCACTTTGTTCTCAATGTAACTGAACTAGCACTTGCATGCATCATTTCATCAGCTATTTGCAGCTAACTGCTCTAAGCACTCTCAAACCAAAGGAGAAATACGTACTTTAAATGCAACACTGCACTGATACTTTAATAATGCAATAACAAGTTTTGGATTTCTTAAAACAAACAATCAATCTGCTTTAGCTGAAGCCTTAAAGGTTTATGCAGTGCAAAGAAGATTCATCCACGCCACAGCAAGCCTCCAGGGCCCTTACACACATACAAGGAGAGGACTCTAATGTACATACCAGCAGCCTCTCCATCTTACTACCTACCTAAAAAGCTGAAGGGATCTGGTGAGAGGTACAGCAGCAGCTAGGTAACGGCTACAGCATCCTACATGTTATTCACAAGAGTGAATACTGCTGTGTCAGAAGATATACGAAGGTGATGCTTAAAATCACGTTAAATTGCCTGCCTGCCAGCTCCGTCAGCATCAAGAAACTAGAGAGCGTATACATACGGCAGACAAACTGGCAGCAAATTTACCTACCGCTGCACTAACAATGTGCAGGAAGGTGCCTAAAAAGGACATTTTTGCCTTTGCCCAGCAATTACCTTTCCAGCTTTCAGTCTCACTGTCCTTCTCCCAGCTGTGCTCACAAGGAAAGGATTTAACTAGCGACTGCTGTAGAGTTCCATGATTAACTGCTTTCTACCCAAACATTTTTCAACACAGGAAAATATACAAGCTCTCTCATTGGTTTGGAGGGGAGTTGTTTATGCTTTTACTGAGGACCCTCACTGCCTTCTTCCAGTTTGGTAACAAAGTCATTAGCATCGTCAGAAATAAAGGGGACAGACACTTTGCTTCTGATGTGTAAGGAAGGGGGAGAGTATCATCTTCCCATGACCCAAACATATTTCAGAGAACAAAAAATAAAGAAGGATTAAGAAACAACCTTGACTCTGACATAGACTAACTACACCACGTTCAGAGGGTTGGCGGCATTTACCAGGTGCTTGCTAACAGTGTTTCTGAATGACACCTGAAACCATATGGGGGCTCATCTGCATAATTAACAGCAAGGTAAGCAGCTGTTTGAATCCTGATGGACAGCAAACACTCCTGAGGCCAGATGCATACTGCAGTTCCTACACACATACACAGCTAGGAGTTTCCAGCTTGCAAGAAAAGATCTACTGAAAATACTGAAAACTATTTTAGTTCAGATCAGTCTATGTGACACATTTTCCTTAGACAAAAGACACACAAAGATCCACCTCACCAATGTGTCTGAAAGATGGGATGGGTATGAATGCACAACACTGGCATTTAATCAAGCTTGAAAGCAAACAAAATATATTGTCCCTGCAGGAAGATATATATGATGGCCAAAATAATATAATAGGCTCTAAAAAGCAACTTAAAGAATAGATAAAGAATAATTGATAACAGGCAGTTTAATAGAATCACAGCAAAAGCACAACTTGGGAGTACAGCTACATCTTCAGAATATTTATTTAGGCTCCTTCTGAAAGAATGGGCCTCTAATATTCAAACAAAAAAACCCCTCAGGCTTGAAAACATTTTTGGTAACACTGAAGATTTAACATTTAAAAGGCCAACCTAAAGAACTTGTTCTCTTTGAAGGGATGTAAATATGACTCCAGGAAACACAGACTAAAGGCTCCTAAAGGACAGGACTGAAATCAATGCCTTGTGTCTCAAAGCTTCCCAGCAGGAGGAGATAAAAAAGCAGAACACATGCCCCGAGCTGCTGCACAGCCTCTTCCCCAAAAAAGCAAAGGAAGATAGCCAAAGAAATGTAGAATTATAAAAAAACCCAACTATTGTCTAAATCTCACGTATGCAACACAAGATGTTTCTGTATGTCGTGTATGAACACAACAGCAGCTGAATGAATATTTGAGGCTTGCTGTACACATCTGTGAAGTGCCCAGAAAACCCCAGTCAGGTCTCACGTGGCTACATTCACTGAGGTATGTCCTGAAGAGAAATGAAGATACAGGAACAAATTACCATGGCAGGTAATGCTATCATGTTTCTATTAAAAAAACCACTTTTTTTTTTTTCCTATTGAAGGACATACCTCAAGAAGTGCAGGCATACAGTTGGCTAGGTCAGGCTATTCTTTTCAACACCTCTCATTCATTTTGATATAGCCCCTGTAGGCAAGGAAGGAGGGTAAGGCAGATAAAGGGGACAAAAGAAGCAAAGAGGAAGAGGAAAGCAGATAAAGAGGACACAAGGAGCAAAGGGGAAAGAGACAGAGAGAAAAGACAACTACATCAGTAACTGCTGCCGTTTGTACTGCTGACAGCATGGCTGCACCTACTCCACTCCAGCGTGAAGGGGAGAAGGTTAGTTACACCAATACACAGCGCTCACGCGCTCAGAACTGTTCACAGGATCAGTTACAACACAGGGGCATTGTAAAAAACTGCTCTTTGCTCCTCATTGCCTTTAAAAATTTATGTGCCACCTTCTACATCCTGTGAACACCAGGTTAATTTTACACCTTCCCCAGCAGAGCACGCAGCAGTGACTGTGCTGCTGAGCAGCCACCAAGCAGGCTGGTGGAGGGACCTGGGGAGGGACCACTGCTCCAGCAAGAGCCGCAGGATGCTGGCAGGAGACCCACTGCAGGGACATACACACATCACCAATAGACAGGTTTTGTTTATTTACTGCCCCTGGGGAGAGAACACACTTCACTCTAGGACAGGAAGCAGTGTGATGGGACTTGTCTTCTTATCAACAAATAGCGTTAAATCAGGCATGCGCTACATCCCTAAACAAGCAACAAAAAAGAACGTGTTCAGAGTACCTCCTGTCTTTTTCTTTCTTCCTGGCTGATCACATCTGATAATCCATTCTTCTTTACCTAAGGAAAAAGAGAAAAAAAATGTAACATCTTTTGTAGAAAAATACAGCTTAAATTAAAAAACCAAACCACAGAATTATCAAAACATTGGACAAAAATTCATCTAAATAATCTATCTACTTCCAAAAGACAGCAGTGAACTAGCAGAAATAAAAAGCTGATTACATCTGTCACTTGACTTATCAAAAAAGAACCAAAGAATTTCATTAAAAACTATCCCAGTACACACACACAGAACCACTGCAGCAAAAGCATGTGCAGTTGAGCCACGGTCACCCTGGATTTTACACACACACACAAGCATGGAAACTGCTTTCTCCTTTTAAGTTAGATTTCTTGACTGACACACGTACACCACAAGGTTTGTTTTCTAAGTCAGCCTGAAAAAATCTTAGTGTCTTCGTTTGTTAAACACACCTAAAGGCAAAGACAAAGGCAAAAAAATCATCCTGGAGGAGCTCCAGGTTTACCCTGCACAGACATGGCAAAGCCCCGAGCCAGCACCCCTGTATTTCTGTCTTCAACGCTACGACCATGTCTCTTCCCGCTCGGGAGAGTTTGCTGCAGCTCTGCGGGTACAACATCACAAACTCCAGCCACACACGCATTTGCCACGGCCTGAAGCCACCTGCTCAGCTGCCAAATTCCACGCCAGACACCTCTGAAGTGTATTCTTTCCTCGTGTAAATCACACGCATTATGTCATCTAATAGGAGAACATTAAAAAACCAAACAGAAAGCAAAGCATCAACAAGGGACCGACTTTACGCATTTCCTAGCGGGGCGTTAAACACAGGACCCCAAACCTGCAGGCAGGACCCCAAACCTGCAGGCAGGACCCCCGCATACGGCACGCTGGAGCAGGGAAGGGGAAAGGGGCCGCTGCACAGCACCACCCGTGTGAAGGACACTGTCCTCTTCCTGCGGCAGCAGTGTGTCACAGGACGCGAGACCTAACAGATGCACTTTGTTCTCCCATTTCTCTTTCAGTCTCCTCCCAAAGCTCCTAACGTACTGTCATCAACAGCCTTCTCCTCTTCCTCCACTGGTTCCCTGGAACTCTGAAGGATGTATGTTTTCTTCCTGCATACCAGGCACCGCAAACCTGGACAGCAGGCTCAAGAGTAAAGACGGCACAACATTACGAAGTGCCACACCTTGGCTTGCACACACCCTGAAGAATATCCACACACGTATGTACCGGTAGAAAGAACATCGATATTCCAGCGTTGGAGCAATTGCTGTTTTGAACACAAGGTACAGATTCCTGAGTCACCACAAGCAGACACCTCTGAACACCAAGCAAGAACTAATCAGATGCCTTGCTATTAAACTGTGAAAGTACCTTTCCATCAACAACCTGAAAGCTTTGGAGCACTCTCTAGGAAGTACAGCGTCACTTTTTACTGGATGCAGCGGAGGACTTTTCTAAAAATATGCCGACACAGGAAATACCTATGAACAGACCCAAGAGATTTCAATGCTTCCTGTTAACACAGCAACCGCAGATTTCCAGTGAGGTATTGCGGTATTCACAGGCAAAAAACCAGAGCTGTGGTTCGTGATCATTATTTTGTCATACACAGGTGTGTACATACAAAGTGCACATGTAAATTCATTATGTAAGCAAATGGCTCAACCTTTTATTCTTGATCCACAGCAACACTTGCAGAGAGAGCAAAGCCCAGATATGGAGACTATTTTTGGCATATTCTGTGAAAGAAAATTCAACTCTTATTTTTCAGGTGCCCAAAATATTTTAGCTGAACTATCCTAAAAATCATATTTGTGATATTATGCAAACAAAAAATTAATATAAATAAGAATATAACTGGAAAGAATGGAGAAGGCCCAACACTGCAGCTCCTAATGTTGTCTTACTGTCACCCTGGACTGCTTTGTTCCAGCAACTCAGTTATGACTGATTCAGCCCTGGAGACGAGGAGGAAAGGAAGAAAGAACAGGTTAACTCTGTGGTCATGTACAAGAAGTTCCTCCAAAATAAGGAAGTGCTGCAGGGGAGGAAGGCACCAGAAGTATTTCTCCAAGAAATACAGCAAGTGGCTGCACCATAAACCAATGAACATAAGCCTTTTGATACTGGGAGAGAAATGAGAGCTAATGCAGGGACTAGCCTTGAAGGTCCTTGCCAGTCAGACCAGGTAGCTTTGGGGTGATAGCACAGAGCACAGGCAGCCATGGAGAGGTGATGGTGCTAGTGGCTTGGTAAAGTAACTTGCGGCAGCTTTTTAAACAAATGAGAAAAATCACAACTGCACTTGTCCCAAACCAGAGAAAAAGCTGATCGGAAAAATGAAACACAAGATGACCAAAGCTTGGAAAGAGTTTTGGCTTAGAGAGACAGCAGTTGAGAGAACATGCAAAATCTTGATTGAACTCTATGTAAATACATTGAGCTGGGTCTGAAATGGAGGAGCTGATGCTAAAACACCCATTTAATATTAAATACTTCAATAATTATGAGCATTATCCACACTACGGGACATCTGTTTCTGTGCTAGATCTCAAGAACATTTACAAGAATCACAGCAGCACTGCCAGTAGTACAGTAAAGTGAACATGCTTCCTACTCTCCAGCCTGGACAGCAAGGGCCTGGAAAAACAGACATTTCAGTCCAAAGTCCATCAGTCAGACGCCGTGGTTAAACTCCACAAGAGGTTATCCAGGGAGGTGGTGAGGTCTCCACCCACGGAGATATTAAAAACCTGACTAGACACAGCCCCGCACAGCTTGCTCTAACTGACCCTCCTCGAGCAGGGGGGGTGGACAAGATGATTTCCAGAGGTCCCTTCCAACCTAACTGATGCTGCGACTCTTTGCATGCACAGTAATACACATTGTCATTCTCCATACTGGCCGAATGCTGCATTTGTTGGAAAGTAAATACATTTAATATTGCACACAAGTTAGTATCAGTGCCTATGATCTGCTGGAAGTTCTTCAAAAATCTCAAAAGATACCTTTGGAATATATTTTGGCAATATTGGTTATTCTCCCTAAATTAAACTTTTAAATTAACAGCTGAAGGCTGGGAGGAACAGGGACAGTCGATAAGCTAGCTCTGTACCTAGCCATCTGCTCAGGTACCGCTAGCTGTCTGATCTGTAACAGGAACCTAAAGAGGAAGGGGGTTCAAGAGAGGAATTAGGAAGGAACTGGATTTCAATAGCACCCCATTCCAGAGTCTTTAAATGTTCTCTGAAAAGCTCAATCTTAGCTTTACATGTGCGTGTACACTGCAGGAGGACAGAAACACCCTTTTATTTACTCTTATCAGAGAGGATTTGACAACTCCATACACAAAGGTTTCAGTACCCTGCTCAAACAGAAAGCCTGGTCAGAACTGCATCAGCTGTCAAGCCCGAATGGCCAAAGAAACATCCTGCGGGAAGAGTGGAATCCTGCTGCTGTCTTTCCCCTCACTTTCCTCACAGAGTCACTGCTAACAAATACCATAAACATATTATTACTCTTCTTTCCTAACATGTCGAAACCCAATACTTTGACACTGTCCAGCTGACTCCCTGTTGCAGTTCCACACTCACTTTTGAATCCACACTGACAGCATGTGATTTTTCCAGAGAGTTATAAACACAGTCACTATGAAATTCAGATTCCCATATTTTGTTTTCACAGCACACTACCTTTTCCCATGTACTTCCACTCCTAACCCTGTAAATCAAGGAAACACACTGAACAAGTTTGCTGTGCTAGAAATCAAAAAGAAGTTGGTTTATGTAACTGTAAGTGTGGCACAGGAATGGTTCTCTTACCAAGATGATCTTTATACTATTTTGGTCTCATGACAAATTAGTGTTTTTGAAATTATTATTGTTACTGAATAGCATTCCTTCCAAAATACCTCAGCTGTTGAACATTTAACTGCTAGATTGCCTAGAAGGCAGAAAAAAAAAAGAATTTGACTTCATTATAAACAAATTTTTTTCGACATTAAGAAAATTAACTACATTTAAAGTACTTCATTTGTTGAAAGACAATTTAAAGCAAATCTCAAAACCACATTGGGTTGCCTTCTTTATAATTATTGAATCAAAGAGGGATTCATATTTTAATACCTGCAACTGCAAAAGGTCATCAACATCTCTAAGGCAGCTCTTCTAAACAGACAATCGCAATAGCCTCACAAGATCTTGCTGAGGCTTAGTAACTGATTTCTATAGGACATACACAGCCAGCGGCCCCACGGGCAGACAGTCCAGGTGACCATGTCACGTAATAACAGTCCTTTCCTACGCCACACAGAGAAATGAGGTTCTGCAACATTCTGCAAGTTACAGAAACAAAACCTCAAAACCCCTCAAAGCCTTCATTGCAGAGATATCCCTCCAGAAGCCACAGAGGTGATCAAAGGATAAACGTAACCACAGAGACACACAATATTGAGTTTCTTTAGCCTCAAAATCACGCATACTAGGAAAGCCTGGAGAAATATCAACTAGTATCATCATTTGCCAGCTTATTAGGAGGGAAGCTAGCGAGATTACAGTACTGATTAAACAGCTGAATTCTACTTTGTTTAATGACGCTAGTGGGAAAAAGCCACTTCAGAGCCTGGGCTAAGGCCTGCAGAACACCACCATCTGAATACTTGGCTTTTTAAAATGGTTTCCATTAAATATATGCAGTCAAATCAATTAGAGTTGGCTTGCAGCAATTCAGAACAATTCAGCAGAAACTTGTTTGCAACTAACTGAAGCTTTTTTTAGTATAATTAACCCTTTTACTCAATTCACACAAACTTTTTTTTTTTTGCAAATCAGTAAAGTTGTGTCTTCGCCAAATACGGGACCCTAAAACGAACTTTCTCAATTGCATTCCTTTTTATGTAAAACAAAGACCAGTAATTGATCGGGACTTCCATATTGTTCTTATGAAATGAAAAACAAAGTTCAGCAAAAAAAGAACAGAACTAAATCCTGTTTAAGGTTTGGGCCACACCACTCCAATTTATTGAAAGGAACTCCAAAGCACAGACGTCACCCCACGTTGACATGCTGTCAGGATTCAAACCTGTCTTTTCAGGCTGCCCAACAGCACCTCACGCGGCACAGCCAGACACAGGAACATCCATCAGGGGAGTCATGGGTTACGCTAAGGACCTGCACCAGCACGGCTGCCAGCATCCTGCGTGGGCAAGGCCTCCGCAGCCGTCCCCAGCCCCTGCAGGAAGTACGAACTCAGGGTCTCAAATGCAACACGCAAACAAAAGAGGCATGCTTGATTTTTTTTTTTGTCCAGCAGAGTTTAAAAAGAAAAAAAATAACAGAAATTTATCTTAAAATGTAGAATTATGAAATATTAATTCCTTTGCATTTCAAAGTTGCATTTAATTTCATCTTAAACTACACTGAATGTTTTTTCTTGGTAATTTCAAATTAGAGACTCTACCCAGTCTGTTGGGCGGCCACACGACCCTAAAGCCACTTGCGCTAGGAAAAGGGAAGTGTCATGTAACCAGGGAAACTGATTCTGGCAGGAGCATCAGTCTACACCTACTAAAATTGACTGTGAAAACGATTTAAACTTTGTTTAAGCTGTTGGGAGTCACCTGACGTAAAACCTAAACAAAAGCTAAATTGAGACCTCAGGATTTGGATTCATAACATCTGAACAGTTGCCAACTTGTCGACAAAAAAATATTTAGAGACACCTTGTATTTCGGAAGGGAATAGAAGATGACAAACTTCAGCCAGAACCTACAGCAATAAGTAAAAGACTTGCTTCAATACATTCTTAGATCTCCTTGTCTGGCTGTACAATGATCAAATACTCACAACGGACAGCTGGCTCCATGTTGATCTCAGGGGCTTATAGTGAAAAACAACCTTTTCATCCAGTTTCTGCTCTCGGGGCTCAGACTCTTCATCAGAATCTATGTCCAGAGCTTTTTCTTTATAGTTCTGATATAACACAGCGTTTTCTAGAAAACAACAACAGTCTGTCATCAATTGCTAGAAAGTTACCTTAGTTGCTTTCATAAAAATTATAAGTAACATTCAAACAATGAAAGAAACCAAAATGTCACCGTGCCGTTCACAAACTCCCAGAGACAAAGATAGCATCTTATTTAGGATGGACAATGGCACAGTACAGTAACAATGGGTCGCTGTACCGCTACCAAAGAGATCCGCACTGACTGAATTAAAGAACAGCTGTGTCCTTTGTCAAGAAAAAACAGAAAACAATTTTTTCTTCCTGGGTTTGCTGTACAATGTTTCATAATTAGCCAGCAATTTAAAAGCGGAACAAGCGTGTCCCTAGAGCAGAGTCACTAAGCTGGAGGTCTAGCTATTTTCATCTACAAGACCATTATAAATCCACTACCCATGCCAGCTTTTATTCTGTCAGCTTTAAATACCATCTTCGCACTTCACTAAGAGAGGGAAATGATCCAAATTTCAGAAATCTGAGGTCAGAACTATTCCAAATAGAAACTTCAAAGCGTGCTTGAATAAGCATGAGGCCTATGAACCTTAAAAAACCACACTCATTAGGTATTTCAGTGGTGCCAGCAGTCATTCAGTAATATCAACGGCAAAGAACTGCAGGTGTGGAGCATACCCTTGCCATTTCCAACCTCCTTCACCACACACCCTTTTCAAAAGCAGACAGAAAAGGACAGAGAAATCCAAGACCAAAGTAACCTACAGACAGCTTAAGCTGGTCAGAAAGCAAGCTCTAAAAGGCACTTCAGAGATGGGCCAGGCGTTGGACAATATCGAGGAGAAAGGGGAAATAAGTGAAAGGTCTGTCTGCTCCACACACAGCTGCAAACTCCTGAGCTCTTAACGCCAGCCTGGGTGGGTCTGTTCGACCTACTCGGACCACACAGCCCCAGCTGAGTGTTACACGAGGTCTCTGGAATGTACCTATGTAGTTTGTACCCTTTGAAGACAGGAAATTGTGAACAGCAACTGAATTCTGGGAGGCATTACAGAGAAAGTTATTAGTTGGGATCAGTCCAAGATAGAAGGAAGCCACTGGAAGGCAATCTAGAAAACATCATCGGGAGACAGTGTGAGAAAAGATTAAAATAAGAGCAAGATGGGGGTGACAGAAATCAAACAAACTGGAAAGTTCTGAAAGTTGAAAAAAAACAAGAGGAAAAGGAAGGTAACACAGCAGCTGAGATGACCTTAATGAGGCACAAAGCAGAGCAAAGCCAAGAGAGTAGCGGTTATTATAATGAAACTTCCATGGACACACAGCCAGGAAAGAATTCTTTTCTTGTTGAAATATTGGGAAAAAGCAGAAAACCTGGCAAGGCCCAGAATTAATGGGCAACACAAAAAAGCAGATCCATGGACAGTTTCTGACACTGCAACTTGAAGCCTAGGTATCAGGAAAAGAAAAGGATTCACCCCAGCACTCCTGCCTTATGAGGAAAAAGAGATAAACAGCCGCATGAACCACAAACTCAGAGAATAGCAACTCAGGTGCCTGCTGCAAGTGATGACCCCAAACCTGTCAGCTGATCCACAAAAGCTACGACCTGCACCTGGGAAGAGTCCTGGGGAACAGGCAGGAAGGCAGTCCCAGCTGCAGGAACCAGCCTCATCTACGTAATTCTACAGAACCGTGAGGGGTCAGATCGACACAGCCATCAGCTCACCTTCCAGGAGGAACAAGAGGTCACACTTAAAAGCAGCCCTTCAAACAAAACCCCATTTTTAGCCTGCCATTCTGTATTCTTTAAAATATTCCCTGAAGTATGTCTACTGCCAAAATTATGGTTCCATATTTCAGTCAGTTTACTGAAAACCAAGGCACTTAGTCTGTGACTACATAGGAAAGAAGCATGCAAAATGATCCTGAAGTTCATTAAATGATTGTGATCGAGCATATAAAAGGGCTTACCTTCCCCATCAAATGTCCCTTGTCCTTTCAGCACTTTCTTCTGATAATTTTAACAGGAAAGAGATACACATTAAAAGAAGAATGCAAAATAACCAACAGTAAGAACTTATATTTAATTTTATACTTAGGCACCAAGTTAACAGGCCCTAATCTACGAACTTCTGATGTTGGGCAAGTATTCATGAAAACTGCTTCATCACAAAAAGTGAAAAGCTGCTCTAGTTTTGCTTCTTTCATGCATTTTTTATACGTATTTGACCCAAATGCTTCATTTTTCCTGTTTCAAACACATAGCATACTAGCTTTACAAGAGTTCAGTGAACTTGTAACTCATCCCCCTGTCACTGGGCTTCTCTACAAGGATAAAAGGTACACGACTGAGCGGCTGTCTCCTTCCACATGCTCTGCAAAGAACAGCGACATTAACTATTCTCTAAATTAACGCTTTGAGACCAAAACAAACCTTTGAAATAAAACAGCTGGTTTGGCACAACAAGTCCTAGGGTCTAAGCAGTCTATTTAAAAAAATGCTACTAGCAGAAGTTCTGTGTGTAAACACAGGACAATGTCATGTCCTCCTATTTTAAACACAGCTCACTGCTAAAGTCTGCTACCAAAACCAAACCACCTCCCCCATTCACAGTTTGATTGATTAGTATTTCACCACTTGCAGTGTTTTCAGAAAAGCTTCCACAACCATAATTTTTTAATTTGGCTGAAATTGTCATAAAGCTGATAATTATTTTAATAGCTGCAGCATTAACCCTTAGCCTGGAGTACTTTATTACACAATTCCAAACACTCTGCAGAAATCTACCAATACATTTTTTAAAAGTAACTAATTATATTTAAAAAGAAGGAAATACAAGACTACAATATGATATGCTCAAGTAAAAGAGTATTTTCATTAAGTCTTCATAATTTAATTTTAATACACGAACATTCAACATAAATCTACTACTCTTAAAGGATTATAACTGAGAATTAAAAACAGGCATTCTGCTTTTACTTGCAGGCATTAAAATTAAAATTAAGCTACTAAAAGATACCTGAAGTGGCTTCTAATAATTCCAAAATCACACTCTGATTTTTAAAAATACTTTTAAAGTAATGTCTCATAGAGGATTAAGGGAGGAAGTTAATTTTTCTGCCAGTCTATTTACTCTAGCAGGCAGATTTTATTAAGCCAGTGTCTCTTTTTCCTGTTTACTACTTTATGGGAAACAAGTTGTAAAACATTGATGCGATTGTGAAAGAAAAGCTCCATGTGTGGGGAACCCAGCAGGCAATGCAAGCACGAGGCTGCCACCAGCACGATTCTGAGCTGCCCAGACTCCAGCAGAACCGCGTCCCTGCAGCCTCCGCCGCTTCACTGGGAAAACAACGCTTCCAAGTCATCTGCGGGACCCATCAATAACTATGAAAAGTTTTGTGTCAGCAAAAGGCAAACTGAGAAGACCCTAGCATTTACAGAAAACCCAGAGATGGCAAATCAGGCTGCCGTGTAACCCGCACCATCCAAACCAACGTGTCACAGCTTACCTTTATCCTCCCCAGGCTCGAAAACTTCTCTTTATCTTCAACAACCGTTTTAAGTATGGGCTGGGACATTCTGTTTTTTTTCTTAAAATTAGACGAGCAGTCGAAGTCCACGCCGCTGACCACCGCTCTGCGGTAGGACGTGGACCGCAGGCCCCGCCGCAGGGTCCCCAAAAAAAGCTGTCCAGGTCACCCTCGGCCTCCTCCTCACCATCGGCGACCAGGGGCACGCTGAGGCTCTCCACCATGCTCCGCACCTTCAGCACCCTCTTGCTCGTCTCCGCGCTCTTGCTCGTCAGCTTGACTTCGGACGCCAGGCTCTTGGGGATGATCTGCTGCGTGCCCACC